GCATGCAGAAAGACAGGCAGACAAGCAATCACACAGTACAAGTGCTTTTTCTTCTTCTTCTGGCCACGTGAAAGGACCCCAACTGAGCGGTTTCCCCTCATCATAGCCGCTTACTGAAATCTGGGGTTTGGGGTTATCATCAAGGCTTTTTTGCCTCTTTGATTGCTGGCCGGCCACTCCCCGTTGCGAGGTTTGAGGAAGCGTTCGAGATATAGCATAATTCAGCCAGTCAGAAGCAGTTCATTTACCTCCAACTACCTTTGATAGTGGGTCCTTTCCGGTCTAGGCTTCGATCTATCAACTCTACCTTGCCGTCATGGTTGTGTCTGGCAACCATGTTCTGAACATCCCGTCGTCCGAACCACCAACCTTATCACTTTATTGTTCGGGAAACGTCCGTAACGGTAAAACTCACACTCTGAACCGGCGACGCCTCGAGGCGAACGGTTCCTAGGCTCTAGTTAGTCTAGGCACTACGTAGCCAGGTACAGCACCATCTTCGCTTCTGCACGCCACCCGGTTGTCCTTACAAGATTCATTACTGGGTAGCCTCATTGTCTTCATCCCGGTCTTATCCCCTTATAATCATCACGATACGGACTCCAAATCCGGCACCGATTTCATCTTTACCGGCTCTCGTCTCTCGGGGATTTCTCGCTTTTCTGTACTGAGCCTTCTCTCCTGTTCTGGGTAAGTTCTATGCCAGACCCATTTACCTCGATATTCCCTGATCCCACGTTTCGGCACTGAGCACTTGTTGTTATCGGACTTGCGGAGGCGGTTCATTACTGCCAAATCCCGTCTTGTGCCTTCTTGTCCTATCATAGCCGTCGGCTGTTTTCACTCCCCAAGATGCTCTCCCTCACATTCGGCTACCCCAGTATTCTGTACACTGAGGGTGAAGTTCAGAGGGTGTGCATGGGGTGCATGTAGGGTCCACTTGACTCTTGTCTAAGTCAGCTCGGTCACAGTATCCTGCTTATATCAGAGCCATATGCCCTCTCAACTTGGGCTGGCCTTGGCTATTATATTCATCACTCACCTTATCCCTTTCAAGAAAGCACTTCGTGTTATGCCGAACTACTTTCTACAAGAGGGCTGTCATTACTTCTACCGAACCGCTCTCCGCGGACTCAACATTAGCACAAGCGTGTCACCTCTCTACACCTAAACTTCGTCTCCATCACCCCCGACTAACACAATGACTCAAGTCCGCACTTTCACTCCTCCTCAGCCTCTTGGAGACAGGCTCTCTGACCCAACTTCTGCTCCAAACCCTGCTGGTTCTACTGTTCCTCGAACTCTTCCCGATATTCCAGAGCTTGCTCAACCACGACGCAATTCTCCCCCCAGACTTAGCGGCGACTATACTCGCGTTCCAATGGCAAACTACAACGAGTCACGGAAAGATGGTGGCATCACTTTCTCTGGGCAGGACAAACTACCCAAGCTTCCCATCCCCGAACTCGAGGCCACCTGCAAGCGGTACCTTGAAGCTCTCAAGCCACTCCAAACGGCCCGGGAGCACGCAGAGACACAGCATGCCGTAAACGAATTCCTGAAGAGTGATGGCCCCGAGCTACAGGAGAAATTGAAGGCATATGCTCAGGGCAAGACGAGCTACATTGAACAATTCTGTATGTCGAAAAATACATCTGATTTATAGCAAAGCACTAACTTTCACAGGGTATGATTCTTATCTCAACTTTGATAACCCTGTTGTTCTCAACTTGAACCCTTTCTTCTTACTTGAAGATGACCCAACTCCCGCTCGCAATGATCAAGTCACTCGTGCTGCTTCTTTGGTCGTCTCCTCGCTTGAATTCGTTCGTGCAGTACGAAAGGAGGAGCTTGCTCCAGACAAGGTCAAGGGAACTCCGCTTTGCATGTACCAATTCTCGAGACTCTTTGGCACTGCCCGAGTTCCAACTGAGGAAGGATGCCAAATCGAACAAGATCCTGAGTCGAAGCATATCGTCGTCATGTGTCACGGACAATTCTACTGGTTCGATGTCTTGGATGACAACTCAGATGTCATTATGAGCGAGAAGGATATCTCCATCAACCTGCAGACCATTGTTGATGACGCAACCCAGGTTCCTATCCAAGACGCTGCCAAAGGCGCCGTGGGAGTCCTGAGCACCGAGAACCGCAAGGTATGGTCAGGCCTTCGAGATGTCCTGACCAGCGAGCCTGGCTCCAACAATGCGGATTCACTCGGAATTGTCGACACGGCCCTCTTCGTTCTGTGCCTCGACTACACAGAGCCTGCAGACGCTGCAGCCCTTTGCCAGAACATGCTTTGCGGTACCAGCGAGATCGAGAAAGGTGTTCAGATCGGCACATGTACCAACCGATGGTACGACAAGCTTCAGATCATTGTTTGCAAGAACGGAAGTGCTGGTATCAACTTTGAGCATACCGGTGTCGACGGCCACACAGTTCTTCGATTTGCTAGTGATGTTTACACCGACACCATTCTTCGATTCGCCCGTACAATCAATGGCATGGCTCCTTCGCTCTGGGCATCTTCCAGTCCTGATCCCTCCAAGCGTGATCCTGAGAGTTTTGGAGATGTCAGTGTCACTCCCAGAAAGCTGGAGTGGGATATGATCCCTGAGCTCAGCGTCGCAGTTCGCTTTGCAGAGACTCGATTGGCAGATCTCATTGAGCAAAACGAGTTCCAGACTTTGGACTTCGGTCACTATGGAAAGAACTTCATCACTTCCATGGGCTTCTCTCCAGATGCGTTTGTTCAGATGGCCTTCCAAGCTGCATACTATGGGCTTTATGGTCGTGTTGAGTGTACATACGAGCCAGCCATGACCAAGACGTTCCTGCACGGCCGAACCGAGGCGATCAGAACCGTGTCGTCAGAGGTTGTTGAGTTCGTCCAAGCCTTCTGGGCTGATAATCCTGTCGACGCCAAGATTGAGGCACTCAGGAAGGCGTGCCAGAAGCACACCGCAAATACCCGACAATGTTTGAAGGCCGAAGGCTGTGACCGACATCTCTACGCTTTGTTCTCCGTATGGCAGAGGAGTTTGGATGATGACCTTGACAGTGGTTTTAACAGCAATGGCTACTCTAGCCCTGGAGATGGATATTCTGACCAAGCAGGGTCGCCCGTGGGAAGCCCAGGTAACGACTCGCTCCCCTCTGTTGACGGCGTCGAAGTGAGGCCTACACGAGATCGCGGCTACAGCGTCAACTCCAGATCGCGCGACCAGAACCCACTTCCCCTTCTGTTTGCTGATTCTGGGTGGGATAAGCTTAATAACACAATCCTTTCGACTTCCAACTGTGGTAATCCTTGTCTTCGCCAGTTCGGGTTCGGTCCCACATCAGGAGATGGTTTCGGTATCGGGTACATCATCAAGGATGAAGGGCTCGCTATATGTGTTGCTAGCAAACACCGTCAGACAAAACGCTTTGTTGACACCCTCGAGAGCTATCTTCTTGAGGTCCGTCGCATTCTACGTATCGATAATCGCAAGATGTCAACCGGAAAAGTGAGCCGCGCTCGCGAGGTGGAAATCGAGAGACCGAAGCTCGTGAGCCGCATCAAGTCTAGAGGTCGTCCCATCACAGCTGTTGAGAGCCTGCGATCTGCGACTGGCACAACATCCCCCACCAACGAGAGTAGCACCTTTAGTGAAGATGACGAAATGGGCGGGTGTAAGTTTCTCCTCTTTTGACCTCAAGTACTCTCGACACAATGTACTAACTTGATAACTAGATGGATTCTTCGATGCTGGTATGCTGTTACAAGCTCTCAAGGCTCGCAACGAACATTTTGAGTCAGCCGATACGCGCGCTTCAGACAGGGCTGCAGCTGCTCAGGCTCGCCGCCGTGACATTGGAAAGAAGCTGAGACTGAGTGATTATTGATGATCATATCATAACGTACATGTTTCATTGCATAGCGTGGTCATGGATCTTGCATGGAGTTAAAGGGGGCTGGCTCATGTTTTATGTTAAGACACCGAGGTGTAAGCATTGAAAGTAGTGAATTTACAGTTTTTGATATTTGCAACGAAGGCATATAGACATGCGCCTCGTCTAATTGCGACAAGATGCTCTCACAAGTACTAAGTCATCGGCTATCGAATAATGTAGCGTTGCCTGTCCCAGAAAAAACTGAGCACCGAAAGGTTGACCTTCTTTTGAAGCACGTATCCTAGCATTGTAGATAGAACGAACAATGGTCCCTTCGACAGTGATCAAGCATCAGTCGAATGTCGTCACATTGCACAGAACCATCCAAGCTCAGTCGTATTATATATGCTGATCTTGCGACTTGGTTTTGTATCATGGAAAAGGAGACTACAACCTATGCAATCCTAGCTAACACTACTGGAAAGGCAATCACAGACACGGCCAAGACATTCACGTATTGGAAGCCATGCAAGTTAAAGCAATCCTGATTCAAAGACCTAGTCTAAATGCAGGTAGGGGCTCCCTCCTCTCCCAGGCCAGCAGACTGGCACCTCCACAAGGACCTCTTATTCCCCAGTAGAAAGCAATAAATCATCGTTTCCCTAAAGTCATACAACCTAAACATGAATCGTTCCCGAGTCGAATTCGCAAGCAAATGGGAAAAGAAAACCAATAGGTCCGAAAAGAATTGAATCGTCTATGCCGATGTCTGATGATTGTGATCTCGCCGATCCAAATACATGTACACGCCTTAATCTTGATGCCCATACCCTCATGTGCGCAGCCATTCTCCCCAAGCATAGCACACGAAAAGCAGTGGCCCCAGGATAAGTGGCTGTAGTCCTATAGCGCCCTTTTGATAATGTACACACGGCAAGGCCCTGAAGGCCGTCGTGTCAATCGATCGCGATGGGCCTGCGCCCTTTTGGCTATGCTTCTGAGACGTGGTGAAACAGATCAAAGGAAAATCGTGAATCATGGCGGTGCCGACCTTGCGGTACCACTGAAAGCCCTAATGAACGTCATTTTACACAGGTCTATAAAAATGTCAAGACACAAGTCTACAGCCACTGCGTTTCGCCCTGACCCGTGCTGACATTTCCATTGCCATTGGTAGGGCTCGTAGGGCCGCTGTTGTCACTGGCTTGGCCAGCAAAGTTACTGTTACCGGCGCTGCCATTAGCTGCACCGTTGGCAGCAGCATTGGGAGCAAAATTGCCAGGAGTCATCTGTCCGTACTGAGGCTGCTGAACAGGACCCCCAGAAGTGGGAACTTGACCATTCATGGCGGGGTTGGGAGAGTAGATGGGCATGTTCTGGCGCATAGGTGGCATAGGCCCACTGTGAGGCATACCATTGCCCTGGAGAATAGGGGCACCTCCAGAAATACCTCGAGCGTGAGTAGCGCGCATAGGAATTTGACCCTGGGTGTTGTCGGCTGGTGTCACTTGCCCGCTTGAGGCAGCGCTTCCACGGTTGTCGAAGGCCGAGATCTTAGCTTGAATACGACGGCCGTAGGGAGTTGTTCGAATCTGGGGAAGGATGGGGCGGATGGCCTCTACAAGGCGATGCTTTTGATGAGGAGTAGCATACTCGAGAGCAGTCTGAATGACATAGTTGGCGAATGAGTCCCGGAGGAGGCGCTCCATCTCCTGGTTGCGTAGTAGTTCCTCCACAATCAGATCCTTGGAAGGTGGCTGGGCGCAGCGCAGGCACTTCTCGATGACGTTGGAGCTGAACTTATGGCGGGACAGCTGAGTGATACAATCCTTAAAGGTAAGAACAATAGGCTCGGTGAACAGAGGTTCGTTCAAGTCAATGATGTACTGAACGACGTAGTTGCCGAAGGGGTCCTGGACAAGGATTCGTGCGTGCTCAGTGATTCGCTGGATAAGCCAGAGCTTCTGGTCGCCAGAGGCATGGTCGATACAGCGCTGAAGAACACAGCAGCCGTGTCGGTGAGTGCCCACTTCGACACAGCTGCCGCCGACAGCGTCAAAGATGAACTGCGCGTCAGGAGGGGTAAGTTTGTTGAGACACTTCTGAATGACATGGTTGCCGTTGAGGTCCTGGATAAGCTCCACAACCCGGTAGCGAAGAGCCTCAATAATGATGTGGACCTGCTGAGGGGTGCTCACATACTCGATCATCTTCTGGAGTGCGCGTGTGCCGTGCTGGTTGAGCGCAATGCGGACCATATCCTGGGAAGCATTTTGAATCAAAACAGTCCTCTCATCGTCATTGCAGAACTCAAGGAGCTTTTGGCACAAATAATTACCAAACGGGTCCGTCATGAGCTCAATGACGTGCTGGTTGGTTTCGACCCAAATCATGTGAACCTGATCGGCGTTGCGCTCCTCAAGCTTCTTCTGGAGGTAACGGCAGCCATGTTGGTCCTTGCAAAGCTCATAGATGTTGCCCACAAAGGAATCAAGGGGCGTGTTCTGGTAGCGAGACATGGCTGCAAAGCAAGTCAGTGTGTGCTGATACGGAACTACTCTGGAGTCAGACTCACCTTCATTGTCAAGCTGTCGGCGATGCTGAATGACGCGTGCCTGGCTATCTCGAGGCTGGTTACCCTGATTATACGGACCGGCGTTGTAGCCGTTGTAGTTCTGAGGCTGATACATGTTGCTACCGTTGGCGCCATTCATGTTCATCTGCTGCATACTGTTCGCGAGCATATTGACATTGTATCCTCCTGGCTGATGGGGGGCACCCTGGGGCATCACCTGGGGAATGCCGCCTTGGGGAATACCTTGAGGAGCGCCATACCCGTTGGCAGAATAGAACACATTGTTGTTGTAGTTGTTGTTCGCGGCTGCGGCCCCAGCTGAAGGGTTCACCATAGCAGAGGGTTGCACTGCAGCTGTGGTACTGGGCCCAAAGGGAGCGGCACTGGCCTGCAGGGCAGACTGGATTGAAGGATAGTTGTGCTGCTCACGGCTAACAGCAGGGTTTTCTGAAGAGAGCTCCCGGCTGTGGCCACGATGGACCGCGCCAGCTGGAATGCGGCCAAGGCTAGCATTGTGGTTGTGGAAATGCTGCTGTGCATGGTTGTTTGTCTTTGAAGACGAAGTCCCAGGGCTCTTGACCGTTGGAACATCACTCGAAGAGAACGAGCTCTGCAGCTTAGGGGGAGTCGCCATGTTGGGAGTCGCACTGGGAGACATGATGGCACCAGTCTCGACTGCGTTTTCCGAGATATACTTAAGATCCATAGAATGGCGGAGGGAAGTAGGTCGAGATGCCAGGCCAACAAGATCGCTCACGATGTTGGAGCTTCCGTTGATCGAAGAGAGACTCTGCTGGGGGCGATGACGGTTAACAACACGGCTCCAACCTCTTGAAGAAGATGTCGACTCGGGATTAGGAGACGGGGATAGGGCAAGATCTAAGGCGGCCGAGGACGCTGAGAGCTGAGAGTAAAGTTGTGGGTCAGAATTCGACGCAACAATAGTACAACAATATAGGTTCTGCGGTGGGGCGCTCGAATAGATAGAGGGCCAAGAGCTCAAGATCTTATTGCGCCAAAGGAAGAACAGTAGGGAAAGGAAACCGACTGGGCCTTATGCAGGAAAGTGGAGGAGGGTTCTATGCAAGAGAGCAAATGCTGAAAGACAATGGGCGCGTGGTTCAAGGAGAGCTCGAGGTGAATATGCACCTCATGGAGAAATGTGGAGCCCAGGTGTAAGTCGAGAAGTTGGAGCACAGCAATAACTTCCTGAATATAGTCTCCGCGGAGTTGGCTCCAGTTTAAAGGGGTGAGGTGAAATATGGATAGATGAAAAGTTGCCAAGATGAAAGAACATGAAAATACTTACAATCTGATCGTCGTGACGAACAAGAGTTGGGAAGTTTGCATCAGGGCCACTATGTCCTCCCGAATTCGTCTCTTCGTCGCCAAAGAGAAAACGAGTAGTGTTTGTTTGATCAAGACCAACGTCATATATCCCCGTACGTGAGCGCGTCACAGGCATCGAGTATCGGTTGATGCTATTGTTCAAGGTCGTCGTTAGCTTTCTTTTATTGTCCATGATGACAAGTTCGTGCTAGTTGAATGAGGATTCTTGTATCGCAGATGGAGTTGTGTGGTTTGAGGAAGTTGAGTTGATTGGAGCCGAAGCAGAAGTTCAAATACAGGATTATATAGTCCTCTTGAAGCTTTCTGTTGCGAGAGTGAATCACTGTTTGATTTTTGCGAGGTTTTTGCCTTCTCACTAGAGAGTCCTCATATAAATCAGAGCCCTCATGCTTTGGCTCAGAGTTAAGATTCACCCACCAATAGCAGCATTATTCGCTGCGAAGGATCCAAGGCAGGAAACCTAATAAAAAAGCCTAACCTGCTTGCTTTTGTGGCAATTTACAGTAAAGCCCGAAGCTGAATCTGCAAGAGCTCTAATGGCAAACCCCCACTTGAAGAGGTGCTCGCTCGGGAATAGAAAGGCATGGACATACAATAGGAGCTGTCACTTACGCATTACCAGAGCGATGACTGCTGGGATCTTGTCGAACAGCCTCCTCCTTCTCATCATCACTGTTCCTTCGCGTAGTTGGCACAGAACGAGAAGGCATCTGGGTCGTAGTATCCTCAAATCCAAAGCGTGCCTGTCTGATACCGGATTGGGGAGATGCGAGTTGCGATCCGGATCTGACAGGGCGGTTGAATAGACCTGGGGGAGAGGTCAAGCTAGACATAGAGTATCGGCTCGGTCGTGATAAAAACGTAGGGAATCCAGAGTTATCTCGGTATTCGGGGGGAGTTGTGGGCTCGGACTGATGGCCGCCCATTCTACCAACTTCCTCCTCCATCTGAGCAAGTTCCAAAGCCTCTCGTCTTTGTTGTTGATCCAGCTTTTGCATCTCGAGCTCAAACCTCCGCCGTTGCTCCCGGATTCGTTCATATTCCATCTTTTTCTTCTCGATCTGAGTCTATCATTAGTTAACGGCCGTATCTTGATTTCGTTGATGTCGCATCGTTTCGGATTCGAATGCTCAGGTCCGACTTGAACAAATCGGGAATTTCGGAGGCAAACCCGGGGGGGAAATACGAGCATCAGAACGTACCAATTGCACCTTGTGCATTGCCTGCCATCACACATGTCAGTACTTGCTGTTATTAGAGGGATTGGCAACTTTCGCAATCCATCACGAAACCATGCCACCCGAAGGCCTGTTGGGTTCCAAGCAAGCGACAGATTCGTCATGTGTTGATTACTCACATTATAGTCCTGCGAGGGTTCGGGCACCCGTTGAGCACCCAGGGAGGAAAGTGTCGGGACTCGACCAGAATCGGTGGTGAAGCGGCGAGGCAGGCCAGATCGATGGTCATGGGCGCCGGCATGAGGGTTGACCTGGGGGGCAGGCATCCTGGAGGCATTTCGAGTAGGTGAGACAAACGAATGCATAGACGGGTCGTTGCCCCGCGGGGACTGCTGGGAGCGAAAGCGTAGTTCATCCATGATGGACTAATAGATACAGGATAAAGATAGTACACGCCGAATTGGCCAGCGGTCTCAGCCTATAATACTAAAGACATGAAAGAAACAGATGAGCATCAGTTGCCGCGTTTGTATAGACGATAAGTTGTAGGATGAAGCAGAGAAAAGGCAAAAGAGACGAGGTAGTAAAGTAGGTTAGGTAGGTAGTGGATGGAACGTTGTTGAGAGGCGGGGTGGACGTGGTCAGTGTGGGTAAGGCCCTGAGAATGGGGGGTGTCTTTTGGGGCTGGCTTCCTGAAGCAACAACACAGGGGTGTTGGTGAGTTCGGTACACCTCAGACTAGACTTGGAGCAGCCGGCCTGTGTGCTTGAGGCAGTGTGATCATAGGCAGCTGGGATTGAAGGCGAACAGTACAGTACACAGAATCCATCAGGACCCATAGGAGCTCAGGATATGGAGAGTATAGACGGGGAAGACTTGCTGGAGAGTGATGATAGAGCTTCAAGCCACAAATGCCACAACGATGTCGTGAACAAGGAGGCAGAGACAGAGCTTGGAGTTGAAGTGTTGAATTTGGAATGGTGCAACTAGGATGTGGTATGAAACGTGGGATGACAACATTTGTAGGAATGATCAAGACCAGGAAAGAGAGGAAGGGCAGCAGGGGATTATAATCTTCATACTCTGTCTGTCACAGTTCCGTCCGTCTTCTATATTCTGAAAGCAAATAACCATCGCAAGAACAAGCGGGGAGTAGTTGTTTGTTTGGCCGTCTTGTCGGAATTAAGGTAGCATGGGCGCGCGATCTATACCAAGTTGGCGTGCCGCGCCGCGATGTGAATGGATATCTTTCTACCAAAGTGAAATAAGTATGGATAGGGGATATTGCACTATGTCGCCGGCGGCGGTGGGTGATTCGTGGTGCGGTGCGGGATGTCGGGTTGCGAATTTCGTGTCCGCCGCGCTATGCTCGGTACCTTTGGCTGAAGACGGGGCGATAGAACCCGACAGGACAGACCGGAACAGGACAGAGTAACAAGATGATATAACAACGATTGTGGTATTACAGACAACACGCCTTGAAGCTGACGGGTGTCTTTGAGAGAGGGTAGGTAGGAGAGCAAATGAGTGACAGGAGTGGAGAGATGGAGGTGTAGGTTCCTTCCTTCTGAGAGGTAGGTGCCTGCTTTGACGAACCAGAGACAGAGACAGACTACCTTAGACAAAAAAAAGCGAACCAACCTGGATTTGAAATGGCAATCAATGCACAATCAATAGTACAATAAATACTTGGCACGCGTCTTTGGTGGTGATACAATCGATGATCTAGTTACAGGCTTTTCTCTCACACAGCGCGCCCTGGAAGCCAGGAGCGACAAGCTGGTTTGGAGGAGAGGAACCGAGTTGCGATCAGTAGATAGATACCTAGTCGAGGTTGACGTGAGAGTGAGTGATCAGAGGAGAAGAAAAATAGGTCAAGTACGGAGTATCCAGTTGATAATGGGAACCTAAAAGATTGGCCTAACGCGGGTGTTTGGCGCTCGGCTTAGAGGTCGGCGCGTGTATGTGGGCACGAGACAGGGCCTCACGGACAGTAAAGGCAAGTCGCAGGGTTTGGTTACAGGTCAAGGATGAATTCAGCAAAGAGCAGCAGGGATATATACAAGGTTTGCATTGTTTGGGACCTAAAGTTTCTCATATTTAACACCGAGTATTTGTTTATAAATTATATACTTGTGGTTACATACAAGCCACCACACATACATTTGATGATATACGGAAGAGGCAAGAAATCATGTTCTATCAGGGGTTGTCTTACTCAAGAGTGAGGCTGATTGTTCTGATCCAGATCTCCATATACACCTCGGCTTACCTCTATCCTGGGAATCAAGATGCCAGCGTCGTACTGGAGTTTGTTAGACCAGGCGGGTAACTTACATACATGACATACACGCACGCACGCAAGACACCTCCCTCACGTGAAACTTTTTCAAGAACTGCGGCTGGTCCATCAGAGCCCAAGAAACCACTAACGAGACCATCAGTGGGACCCAAGTCAGGCACCATCAGAACAGAAAAGCAAAATCTCCAGGGGACGGGAGGGAGGGATAGCGGATGGATATGTCCACTTCTTCCAACGGCTAGGCACATCAACTAGTGACGGCCGAGTCCAATTGGTCTGTCGGCTTTATTCCAGAAGCAAGTGAGTGTGAAGAAGGGTTCATTTGTGCTTATAAATTTGCATATAAAAGATCAGTAATTCAAGCTTGTCTGGATCCAGTAGCGTAATAGTCGCTGTTGCGGATGGTTGAATACGCCTCGGGCTCTTCTCGTCCGAACGCCTTTACAGGTGGGCTATGGCATGAGCAGCAGGGTGTTGTACAATGCTTGAATATGTGCCGAGGGATGCATCGTATGTTGAGACAATCATGTCAGCTGAGACAGCCTGATATTTATACACAAAACAGATTATAGTTGAGTCATGTTCGTAGAAGAGATTGGGGCCGATTTATACACATTGTATCGGGCCTTGGCCATAACGGCCTCGGATCTAATCGTGCATTGGAGCACAGGTTGACATGAGCATGGAGGGTTGCAAGGATTGTGCATCATGGCTTGTCAAGGTCCCTGGCAGCGGCACGTTAGCTTATTACAATGGTGAAAACCCTCCACTGCGGCCATCGTGAGTGTCTCTCAACCTGCGAGCATTTATCGGAGTATTTATCCCTCCTGGCCTGTGTATGTATATGTTGCACTAGACGGTAACTCGTCGACATTCCACGCTACTCTACAGATTCACACTACGAATTGTGAGACAAGCATGAGTCTGCAGGGTGAGGAGGAGAGATGCGTGTCTAGTTGAGGCTGCTATTGGATCATGCACTCAGTTTCCCCTCCTGCGACAGTAAGCTTCAACCTCTGCATCTACCAGGATCAGGATTTGAATGGTTCGTAACAAGAGTCTAACCTTTCCTGGAATTCCTTCTCAACCTCTCCCAGACTTTGAAGAGTCAGTAGGGAGTCACTCACAGAGAGACATTCAGGAGCCTGCAACGTGGAAGAGATTAGAGACCAAAGCACGCAGAGTCTCTGGATGTCAGTTGAAAGAAACTTGCCTCAATCGTGTCAACCTACCAAAACCTCTTCTCGTGAATGGACAATGATTGATATCTCGAAGCCCCCCAGTCTCAAAGAGGCACACAAGACATGGACCAAGCGCACATCCCCGTCACTCCGATATGCTGCACCGATTGGTTGGTGTTTCTATCCTTCCTGCACGTCACCCAAAACCCGTCCCATCCTGAACAAAGCCAAACTAACATGTCCCCAGATTGCCCTTGATGTATCGACCAGGAACGCCCTGGCATGGGATCTTTGCTTGTATCAAGCTGACAGGTCCGTTACAGCACAAGCTGTCAATATTGAGTCGGGCCTCATATTGCCACTCTATTTCGACAGCATCTATAGCCGTCAGCCATCCGCCACAGACAGTTGACACATGACGATCCATAGCCTAATTTCGTTCACCGCCTCCAATAAATCCTCCACCTGGCGCTTCTTGGACTTTGAGCTGATTCGCACCTCTGACTGGCATTGCTAATAAGAGGCCAATAAAACGGAAATCGCGGTGGCTGACCATGGGATACAAATGATGGATTTCGTATCGTTACGAGTTGATGGAGCCTGACCAGGAACCGATCGTTAGACAGTCATGGCCTTGGTCCGTGGTGCAACTTGCGTCATGCTTCCCTTTGACCTCGCGCAGTAGCGCCTTGGGATATGATGCCACCGAAGCCAATCAGCATCAACGGTTCTGAATAAATCACAGAGAGGCCATGGGGGTCACAAAGGCCCTCGGCTTGGTCGGTACAAAATCCACCCTGAGCAGCGCTGTTGCACATGGGGAACCACTAGGTAGTTGAGCCACTGCCGATGGGTTATAGTTGCGACTGATAAAGTTGCGACGTCTTGGAACGTCTTTATCAGGAACCGTTCCCACTCAACTGCGAATAACTTCGTTTGCCATATCGACCATCTTATAGCCCCAAACCGATACAACCGATGACTCGGGTCGTGCTGGGGAGCTATGACAGTGACTACTCTGGCGTTGAACCATCTTACCAAGTCTCTCAGTCTAGATAACCTGAAGCATTGTCTCTTGAAGGCATCATCGATGGGCTTGAGTATGGCAGTACATACACATTCTTCACTAACAGCTTGACGGAGCACGTCGAGATCCACCACCTGCTTCCTCTGCATGTCCCTCTGGCTGGTGCCCGCTCAACTTTCTCCTCACTTTCAAAAAGACTCAATCCCTTCACCGACTTTTACAGCCTGCCGCTACAAGTGGTCCATCGAGCTAGTCAGGTTGCCGTCCCACCCTACTACGTCGCGACTCGAAGTCAGGGTCCGATCAACTCACACTAGGGGGCTAATTACCAGCGCCAAGAATCATGTCTTTGCTTCATCCCGCTACGATCGCAGCACATGAGCCAGGTGAGCTAGCTTTCATGGGCCACTGAGTGGTCTCCTCACTTTAGAAAATGCCCGTCAAAGACCCCAGTGATACACATCGATGCTAGACATGAACAGATAGACAACTTGCAGAGGGTTACCTGCGTGGGTATGTATACATGCTCATGCGGGGGTGTGATGTTGTACAGACAATCCCGAGGCCATGTCTCTGAGCAACTTGTGTTGAGTAAAGTCTGAATGCTGAGAGTTGAAAAATGGCAACAGCCATAGCGATGAAGATTAATTGTTCTTTTTTATTCGCACTCGTGTCCGATTATTGCCTTAGGAGGGATTAATTGTAGAAATGGCGTTGGCATCCAATTTTATATCTTTCTTCTATCTGTTTGACAGAACTACTGTTGCGTTTGAGCGTCCACTTCTTTGTATGGCCATTCTAGTTTTCGACCTAATAGTTAAATGGAATTAAACCCCCCCCCCCTTTTTTTTTTTTTGCTTCTATTGGTGATAATGTGCAGTTTTACACTTGACGGGCTTCTGCGAGTCTAAGCTAGATGCTATCACTACTGAAGAATTCCCTGGCTTCTCAGATGGAGGCTAACTGCTGAATTGTCAAGTATTCGCCATGGCTACAATTATATAGTTATATTCACAAAATCGTCGCTTAACAGAATGCTATTTTGTGAGCCAAATTGACGCTTCCTTAGACATAGGTGCGATCATTACATCGCTTGTGCTTTCAATCAGATTTACAAGTCATTTGTCAATATTTATAAACATGCAGTCATAACTTACTCAGAATATCAACCATAACCAAACCAATAACCTCGATACTATACTAGTTGTTAATGCGACTATGACTTAAACTCAGAAAGCATCGTTCTATTGCCTTGAGAAATGGAAATCGAGCATCAGAGCATAGGGTAGGCCAGATCAAGAACCATAACGATCGGATTAGTGAGTAAGGTTGGCAATGTTGCTAATTTCTGAAGAATATTTCAAAGTTCTAAGAAGGATGATACACAATCTAGAGATCGATACTCTTAATAGAATGCCTATTTTAAGGTATATAGTAAAGTCCAAGGCGTTTCAACGTTAACGTTTATACAAGCTGAAGTCTATCACGTGATACGTATCACCAAACTCTCGTCCCCCACCGTGGCGCGCCCGATCAAGCCGGCTCCACCTATGACCGCGGGGCAAGAACTTTTTGCGAAGCTATCGCAAGCTGCCGCAGAAAAAAAGTAGTCAGCGCAAACACACACCCAAAAACCATCCTTTTTAGATGTGCGCTCTTAGGTGACATTCAAGATGCCTACGGTCGACGATGGCTTCGAGGCTCTCCTGGAGCCATTCTACAATGGCAAGAAGCTCACGGATCCTATTTCCACAAAGGAGGACAAGTTCCAGCTTCTGCCAGCCTTCTTGAAAGTCAAGGGTAAGGATGTCGATCAGCCCGGTGAGCCTTCTTGCTAACTGATTTATAGGTCTTGTCAAACAGTATGTTTCCGGATAAAGCGCGCAGAGCTTGCGATTGTACTTCACCGGTTCTAACTAGATTTAGGCACATCGACTCCTACAACTTCTTCGTGGAGCAGGAGATCAAGGATATCGTACGCGCCAATCGAACCATTCGTAGCGAAGTAGACAGCAACTTTTGGCTAGAGTAGGTGCTGGGATGTCAATTAATTGAGCCATGCTAACATTACTTTCCAGGTTCACAGACATTCGAGTAGACAGTCCTCGACGTCAAGATTGGACAGACAACAAGTCACATAGTGAAGTGACTCCCATGGAGTGCCGCCTTCGAGACATGACATACGCCGCGCCAATTTTTGTCGATATACAATACATCCGAGACAAGCAGCGAATCGTGCGAAAGAATGTGCCTCTTGGACGCATGCCAGTCATGCTCAAGAGCTCCAAGTGTCGTCTCGCCGGAGCCAACAATACCCAGATGGAGGAGATGAACGAATGCCCACTTGACCCTGGCGGTTACTTTATTATTGGTGGCACCGAGAAGGTCATTTTGATTCAGGAGCAACTGAGCAAGAACCGTATCATTGTTGAAGCCGACGAGAAGAACAACATTATTTCAGCATCGGTCACCAGTTCTACACACGAACGAAAGTCGAAGACGTACGTTACTCTGAAGAAGGACAGAATCCTCCTCACACACAATGTACTGGTGGAAGGTATTCCGATCGTAATAATCCTGAAGGCTCTGGGAGGATTGTCGGATATGGAAATCATGCAGCTTGTTGCTGGATCAGATGGAAGATACCAAGATGAATTTCTGGTAAACTTTGATGAGGCGACAAAGGCGGGCGTTTTCACCCAGCACCAAGCGCTGGAGTATATCGGAGCAAAGGTCAAGATGGGTTCCCGCAGAGGCACATTCGGTCCTCAAGTGCGCCGTAACCACGTCGAAGAAGGCCTCGATGCCTTGGCCAACCTGGTCATTGCCCATGTGCCGATTGAGGGACTGGATTTCTACCCTAAGGCCATATATGTAGCTCAGATGACTCGAAGGGTTCTCATTGCCGCCCACAACCCCAAGTTGGTTGATGACAGAGATTTCGTGGGAAACAAACGACTTGAGCTGGCTGGTCAACTTCTCTCACTTTTGTTTGAAGATTTATTCAAGCAGTTCACATCTGGAGTCAAGATGTCGATCGACAAGTTCCTGAAGAAAAACAACAGGGCAGTTCCTCTCGATGCGGTTCATATGATTAGCAACCACGCCAACAACATTGGATATGGAATCAACCGAGCCATTCAGACTGGAAATTGGACTGTCAAACGTTTTAATATGAACCGAGCAGGAGTCACCCACGTTCTCAGTCGGCTAAGTTACATCGCCGCTCTTGGTATGATGACCAGAATAAGCAGTCAGTTCGAAAAGACCCGAAAGGTGTCTGGTCCTCGTGCACTTCAACCATCGCAGTGGGGCATGCTTTGTACGTCAGATACACCTGAAGGTGAAGCCTGTGGTCTGGTGAAGAACTTGGCTTTGATGACCCATATTACTACCAACGTTGACGAAGAGCCTGTCAAAAGGTGGATCTTTACACTAGATGCTGGTGTTGAACCTATCCGCAATTTCTCGGGTGCTGAGATGCACCGTGAAGGAAGCTACATCATTCATATCAACGGTACCCCGTTCGCATTAACTCGATACCCGAAACGATTTGCGCAAAAGTTTAGAACTATGCGAAGGAGAGGTTGGATCTCCCCTTTTGTCGGCATCAACATCAACACGCACTTCAACGCCGTTCATATTGCCACCGATGAAGGCCGCATTTGTCGACCTTATATCATCGTTAAGAATGGTAAGCAGAAGCTCAAGCCTGAGCATCTGCGATTGCTTCAGATGGGCAAAGCGACCTTCGACGACTTTCTGAACCGCGGAATCGTTGAGTATCTCGATGTCAATGAGGAGAACGATGCCCTCATCACAATTTATGAGGACCAAGTGACACAGAGTACCACTCACTTGGAAATCGAACCCTTTACAGTCCTGGGAGCTGTCGCAGGATTGATTCCTTTCCCCCACCACAACCAATCTCCTCGTAACACTTACCAATGTGCTATGGGTAAACAAGCCATTGGTGCAATCGCATATAACCAGTTCAACCGTATTGATACTCTTCTCTACACACTTGTATACCCCCAACGGCCCATGGTTATTTCAAAGACCATTCAACTTATCGGTTACGACAAACTTCCTGCAGGTCAAAACGCCACCGTGGTTGTTATGTCATACTCAGGATACGATATTGAAGATGCTTTGGTTCTGAACAAAGCATCGATCGACAGAGGATTCGGCCGTTGTCAGGTTTTCAGAAAGTACACGACGGAACTGCAGAAGTACCCCAATGGACGTAGAGAACGTATCGGAGACCCCGAGAATGAGGGCGATGGCAAGATTAAGCGCCGGATCGCTAAGCACGAGGCCTTGGATGACGATGGCCTTGCCATTGTTGGTTATAAGGTAAACAGCGGCGAGGCCATGGTCAAGAAGGAGACACCACTTGACCAGACAAGCACTGGCATCGGACTGGACCGTGGACCTGCTGAGTTCCGCGACTCATCAGTTTCATACCGGATCGCAGATCCTGCATATATCGACAAGGTCATGATTTCTCAAACGGAGAAGGATACCACAGTAATCAAGGTTCAGACAAGACAGACTCGACGCCCCGAGTTGGGTGACAAGTTCTCGTCTCGTCACGGCCAGAAGGGTGTCGTTGGTATTATTGTTGAGCAAGAGGACTTGCCTTTCTCTGACAGTGGACTAAGCCCCGACATTATCATGAACCCCCACGGTTTCCCTTCCCGAATGACAGTCGGCAAGCTACTCGAGTGTCTAACGGGCAAGGCTTCTATCGTCCACGGTCGTCCTGACTATGGCTTTGGAGATGCTTTCCGTTCTCATCCGTTGGAAGAGATGAGTCAGGTGCTTGTAGACCATGGTTTCTCATGGGAGGGCAAGGACTACTTCACGTCGGGTATTACTGGAGAGCCACTGGAGGCATACGTCTTCAACGGACCTATCTACTACCAGCGACTCAAGCACATGGTGCAAGACAAGATGCACTCTCGATCCCGAGGTCCCCGAGCCATCCTCACTCGTCAACCTACAGAAGGTCGCTCACGAGACGGTGGTCTACGCCTGGGAGAAATGGAACGTGATTGCTTGATCGCCTACGGTGCTTCACAGCTTCTGCTGGAGCGACTCATGATCAGCTCGGATGGTACCGAGATTGATATTTGCCAACAGTGTGGTTTGTTCGGATACAAGGGTTACTGTCACACATGCAAGAGTACAAGGGAGGTTACCAAGATGACGATGCCGTATGCAGCGAAGCTGCTTGTACAGGAGCTCATCAGCATGAATGTCGGAGTGCGACTCCAGATGGATGACGAGTTCCCCCACCCCAGATAATTAGGGTTACATGATGGATATGCATAGAATGGAGTTTTGGAACTTGTATACTTGAAATATAGCATAGTCGTTTACGAGGCGGTTAGGTAGTCTAGAGGTATTATTATGGTTGCTTCAAGTTTCTATCTATGAGCATATCTACATTGAGTCTTAGCCTGTGGTGACTCTGATAATACAACTTTTGCCAGTGGCCGATACACAACTTTATATACGCTCTTGCTTCCACACTCGTTATTGCTTTTTGGCCCTTTGGATCTTAATTGATTTTAATCCTCCCATAGTAACTTCGAACTCGACCGCCCCGTCCAAGCCCTGACCCGTCGGAGGCGCATGAGGCGCAAACACAACTTTCATCCATCTTCGCCACCCTCTGAGTGTGGGTGCTGCCAAGTCAGAGTCATCCTCTGCTGTTACTGGGGCAGCCTGTCTTATACGGCCATAGACAGGACGCTTGAAGAGTGCAATACGACAAGCAATCTGCGTTGACCACACCAGGCCCAAACTTGGGGTCTTGAGTGAATAAGAAGCGTGGGGATCATCACCCCAGCCTGTGAACCAACGCTGTTGATGATCAAGCATTAGGGCGGGTGGAGGCGGAGGACCATCGGGGTCTTGTAAGGCAAAGGGTAATGACGAGGAGGGCGTGCCAGGGAGGTTCGTAGATGAAGGAGGAGGCATACTCCTGGAAGCGAGGGGACTCTCATAGGCGACGCCACTGCTTCTAGGAGGCGCATGCCGTGGTGTAGAGCTGGATGCGAATCGATCAGCGACCTGGTTGGCTACAACAACAGCGAGATTGTGGCGTCGAGCTAGATCGCGGAGAAGAGCACCGAGACGAACGAGTTCAGCACTTCGAGCGGCCATGTTAGAGCCGTGAGAACCCTGCCGTTCGAACTCAGCACGGTAGTTGGCTGCTACTGAGTCGAGAATGATGAGGCCAATGTTTTGACGGGACAGAAGAACAGGGACTTGGAAGTCGAGGATGTGATCTTGTGTCTCTAGATCAGGCGTGACTGCGCTGCGGATAGCATCAAGTGAAGGGCGAGTTTCAGGGTCATCGTATTGCTGTAGAATGGGGTTTGAGTTGAGCATCTGGGCAAGACGGCTTGTGGCGAGAGCTGCCTCAGTTGAGATGTAGAGAGCTTCACGGCCCAGCCCATGAGGCGGAGGAAGTTGGACAGCTAGGCATAGTGATAGAAGAGCTTGTGTCTTTCCAGCACCGCTCTCACCAGTGATTTCCGTTATCACACCAACAGGCACGCCACCTCCTAACGCAGCATCCAGACCCTCGTCAAGAGTACTGATGACGTTGGGTTCTTCAGCCGGCTGAAGCAGAGGCTGCTGTGGGCTGAGATCGTCAGAGAGAGACGCTTGTATAGCAGCTATGAGACGCTTGAGATCGAGGATAGGGAGGCGTGTCTGCTTTGCTATGTCTGCGGGATGAAGGGTGAGAAGATCTGTTGTTGTGAGAGCCTGTTGCTCAATTGTTGGTATTAGAGCTGCAAAAGGGCGGAGAGGAAAGGAGGGTAGGATTTGGAGGAGGTCTGTCATGGGGACGGCTGAGTAGACATGGATGGTTGTGAGTGAGAGAGAAGTTAAAGTGAGGGTGTAAGTGAGTGAGTGTGAAGAAGTGAAAGAAGGGGTTGGCTTGGTGTTGACCGCAAAAGTGTATATCTCTGTCTTGTAGATCCAAAGTCAAACCCTATGGCAGCAACAAGTCCTTGCCCTTACAAACACTTTTGTTCTCTGTTTTTCTCTGGTTCAGTTGATTTCTCTCGAGATACCTAGTTGAGGTTGCACTTCACGCGTTAAGTGAATGAGATAGACGCGCTTACATACATGACGCGCTTAATTGGATTGACTTGACAAGCCACAATGTCAACGCCACATCATACCTAGTGAGCAGAGCCCACTGAAAAGACTGCAAATTTACTGGTCTAGATTTAATTCAGTAGCACTTCAGTACAGCACTACCTACCTAGGCTTGAGAATCAAAACTTTGCCAAGGGAGCTCAGAAACTTCACGAGCAAACAGGGTTTCCAACACATGAAAGGCAGTCGAATGCTCAAACTTTTGATAGCAAAACAGCCCTGAAAGTGTCAATGCTTTTACTGAACACTTCAGCCAACATTTCGTAGACGCATTGGCTTGTAAACATCTCTCAGGAATCACGGCACAGCATCAATCACAAATCGGTAGGCAAAGTTCGGGAAACCATATTCTTAATCTTGATCATGAAATTGGAATTGCTTTTGATTCCATTTTTGTGCTACCAAACAAGGTTCCCGACTCCCCAGAGTCCAAGCATGCAGTGCCAAAACCAGACCCTCCCAAATCGCATGTACAACCGAACAGCCGTGTTGCGAATAATAAAGCCAGCTCCTCCCGAAGCAGGGGGCGAGCCGTTTATCGGTATCGCCACAGGGACAGGGTGTTGTGGCGCTTCCAGGTCTTTCTGCGGCCAGCCTGGGTCTTGTTGTAGCGGTGGCCCTTGTTGAGACCACGAGACTTCTTGCCGGTGGCGGTGAGACCACGAGACTCGCGGTGCTTGTGGACGGGGTTGACGATCCAGTTGATGCGGGGGTCGATGCGGATGGCCTTGTGCTGAGGGTCGACGAGGATGACCTCGTAGTACTTGTAGGTAGAGTCCTGGTTGATCCAGTAGGAGTTGAGGACTCGGAGGTTAGCGCATCGGCGGCCGACACGCTCCTCAGCGGTAGCCTTGAGGGATCGCTGGTACTTCAGCTGGTTGATACCTTGGTTGGTGGGCTTGCCTATCCGGATTGTGTTAGATACTGACATCCCTCTGTTCTCAATCGAGCAAAAAACCTACCATAGGTGGCACCCTTGGGAGCAGGGCGCTTGCGGCCACCACGGCGGACACGGACACGGTAGATAACATAGCCCTGCTTGGCCTTGTATCCGAGACGGCGAGCCTTGTCCAGACGGGAGGGGCGAGAGGCGCGGTGGATGACGTTCAATTGACGGAGCTATATTGATGCACTCTCAGCAAATGTTCAACGAGTGTATAGCACAGACGGCGGTTAATAAACAGCCTGCTTCGTCTCGAGTTCTCTCTCGTCAATGTCCAAGCGTACACAGTTTGTGTGTTGATTTCGTCGTTGAGAATTTTCTTCCCAGTGCGGAGTATTCAAAACTCGCACGAAAAATTCGAACCGCTTCGGACAATTCTAGTCGAGAGGAGAACAAAGAGAGCGAGAACAGGTTGAATCCGCCGTCCACATGGGGAATTGATGTTTGTGCTTGTGCATGTTTTTGGTGGTTTAACGTACTTCCCAGCAGCGAACTCGGAGGAGGAAGGCAACGACATCCGACTGCTTCTTCTTCTGAAGCTCTTCGACGTACTTGAGGGCACCCATCTTGGCTGTTTATCGCAGAGACGATAGAGGTTAGCGAGAGAAGAATAGAGAAAAAAAAAAACAAAGGCTTGCAAGAGAAGAAGAAGAAAATTCTCGAGGAGGGGGATTTTCACATACCGGCTTGGTCGAGGTCCTGGTGGTTAGTAGGAGGTCGAAGATTTTCAGAAAAGAGAAAGAACCCCCGATATCCAACTTTCCGTGGGAAAATTGTGGCCTGTGGGTTAAGCGATGAGCTAGCCCTCACACTTTCCATTCGCAGCCCTCGACGTGGTCTGTGCATGGTCACGTGTCTCGCAAAGATTTGGCAGTGATAAGTCATCGGAATTGGCACTGTACTATGTAGGACCTAGGGGTCAGACGGGATCGGTGGGTCGCTAGCGAATTTTGGTGTAAGCTAAACTCGTCAAGCGCCGTGTATTTCTCCCCCCGAGAAGGACTTCATGAAAGACAGTGCCGTCTTCATAAACTGTGTATCTGTTATACTACTCAATTCGTTCATGTCTTTGGTGCTGTGCTTCCAGAGCCAACTAAGGTATTCATACGATCTCTTCCAAGCCATCACAATTGACTATCAATGCCATTATATCATCCTTCAACTTCAGCTGATAGCACTTTCAAAACCCCAGTAAAAGCCTTCAGATGACCCTGTGCAATCTTTCCCCATATATCATCAGGCATCTTTGGTAGACCCTCCTCAATCAGATCCCACGCTACATGCTCTACTCCGCCGGCGCCCTCAGAAGGCTTGTGGGGAAGTTCGTGTGAATCAGGCATAATGAAATGATTAATCATCTTTGAAGCCATGGCAAGACCGTGCTTGCTCACATCCTCCAGGTCTTTGATATCTTGTTGCCAGCGCATCCAGTTAGGCGCTCGGATCTTGTTGTCTTGTTTGGCTAGGCCTTCGTAAGTCCTAACATCACTCTGTAAATTGTCGAGTGCTTTAAGAATCATCTTTGGGTAAGTTTGGGTGCTTCGTCTCTGGAGAGCCGACGAAGAACCAATCCAGGGAAGAACAGGTGCAAGATCTGGAGAGATATCTTTCTTCAATATGTCGACGCCAATTTGAGGACTGCTGGTTTTAGAAAATTAGATCGAACGAAGTGCCGGAAGCTACATACATCCGTGTATGAGTCTCCTTATCGATGAACTTTGCAAAGTCGGCACCGTGTTTCTTGATCCGGCTCTTGGCTTCAACAGAGAAAACCTTTCGCCTCTTGTTGGAAGAAGCGTTCGTTGCGCGCATGAAATTCTTGCCTCTGCGTTGATTTGCCCCCCTCGCACCTGATTTCCTTGGAGCCCTCGTTGTCATCCTGGGGAGTGCATCTTCGGTACCGTTGCTCTCTCATGTACTTTTAGCTTCTGTAGGCGAAGTCGAGATTGTATCGCAACTCACCCGTAGCAGATGCTCTTCTCTTCCGTGCTCGCGGGGGCATGGTATGATGATGGAGTGTCTCTTTTAAGAGGTGACAAGGTGGATGGAATGAACGCTCAAAAGGTTTGGTTCACTCAGAGTCGTCTTCTCTGGCTAAGAGCCAAGGAAGTTAGTGGGCATCTGAGCATACGTGAAGAGGAAGGTGAAATCGTTGTTGCAAGAGTGGGAAGGCGCTTTGGGTGCTTCTCAATATGGCAAGAATCTGGATCTGCCTCAACCACCAATAAAAGGTATTCTCCAAGTGTTATTGCATGAATCTTTGGCCTCACTTCATTTCACGTTTAGATAACGTATAAGCAAACCCTGAGCTCGAATTTAATCTATCACATAATCTCATTTTCGTGCATTGAGCCAAACAACCCCTTAAAAACAAACACATTTGCCCGCACGAATAAGCAAATGAGTAAATCAAGTCTTTGTCATACATGATTCCGGTTATATCTCCCGAATGTGCCCCTTTTTTGACTGCGTATTAGTTACAGTGTTAGATGCGAAGTCCTTGGGTCTTTCTGTCTATAATCTCAACCTGTAAAAGAAAATTCCATGCCGTCGAATGTCATCTTGTCTTCCCTCCCTACTCCCCGTTGTCGTGAAATCGGCCGTTGGATCATGGACCCTGAACAAAGCGTTGGCGATATGGAATTCGAAAAGCAGCTATTGAACAATCTCTGAATACTCAAGTATCAATGGAGAATTGCCGATTAACGCCAAAGAAGATGTAAACGAAACGACGAATCATTATAAAGGAATGGAAAACGAAAAAAGATGAAATCACACAATCACATAACCGCACCCCAAGCCCAACGAGGGCTGGTTCTGTATATGTCAGTCCGTCGTCGACTCAATCAACAAATGCCAGCAGGTTCTCTTTCTTGGAACGAAGTCTGCTGTGCCTGCTTGAATGCAAACGAGTGTACTGAGATAAGCTTCTCATGGTCGCCAAACGTATGTGATAACACACATTAATGAGTGTTGAGAGACAAGCCCTGGAAAGATCCAACCCAGTCATTCTGAGGAGCCAGAGGTGAAGTGGCTTGAGAGTGAGGTGCCGGGCTGGGACCAGACTGTGGGTTTGGGAACCGCTGGCGCATCGACGTGTATTCTCCAAGCTGGGGAACTCCAACGGGATAGCCCTCCATAGCGCCCGGCATAGCGCCAGAACTAGCACCGTAGCCAACATTGCTGCGAGGATTGCTGTAAGGGTTGGCGAACTGCCCGTAAGGGTAGTTGGAAGGAGGGTATCCAGATGGCTGCGCGAGGCGGCCCTCATTGCCAAACGGCTGGCTGAAAGTTGGAGCAGGGCGGAATCCGCGGCCATCTCTGGCTCCACCGGGAAAAGCAGAGGCTTGGTGAGACTCTTGGACCTGCTGGTTCTGGCGTCTGTCATTACCGCCTGCACCACGGTTTGCGTTCACTGCTCCAGGACCGATGCCGCTAGGAGCCTGAATGCCAAGAGTTGGGCTAGCGAATGAGGCTGGGTTGATAGCAGACATCCAGATTCGAGTCTTGTAGATCTTGAACAAGTCGGTGACGAGAGAGTTGAAGTTGATGTACGAATCGGCGAAGTAGTAGAAGGTCAACTTCTTCCAATCCCTAGCAGAGGTTAGTCATCCTGTTGATAAGTCATAAATATACTCACATCTGGAACTCGGCGTCGAGAATCTCCATATTGAGAGCATGCTCTTTGACCTTTTGCATACAAACACGCTTCGCCTTCGCCTCTTGACCTTCCTTG